CAAAGTTTTAGAAAGTAGGCAAAAATATTATTGTTAACATGTACTACACTAAGTAAAAGAAGAAATTTAACTTAAGAAATCTTTAATTATATTTGTATAATTGTTTATTATAATGTATTTAATAATAAGTAATTAATTAAATTACCTCTAATTCGGTAAACCCCAGACACTTATGTTCAATGCGATTTTTTATTGGTTTAAACGTTGCAAAAACTCTTGTAAAAATCCATAAAGTTTTATTCAACATTTTCAATTAAGAGAATAACATTAGTTTTGATATTTTTTAAATTTTTTTATTATAGCGAAAAACATGTCAAATCAAAGAATTTAAAATGTTAACAATAATATTTTTGCTTACTTTCTAAGACTTTGTTAAAACATTTATAATTAAATATTGTCTCTTTGAAATCTGTAATTTCTGTCAAAAAGATTTCAACGCTAAACAAAAATATTACAAATGTTTTATTCATTTTTATACACTTATCACTTTTAATTAATCAGCTTATATTGATCATGTTGTTTTTTTTTCATATTCATAGTTTTGAGTATTTTGTTAAAATATTTCATTGAAAAACCTAACCATATCAGTAAAACCTGAAGTGCCACTCGGACGTGCGCGCCTGCCAGTGGAACAATAGGTAATCCGTCGTAATGACCTGTATGTGTAAATGCAACACCTTGTACAAAGAATATTTACTTTTATTAAAAATAGCGTTTCGAATGCGGAAAGAAGGCACCGACTTAACACATACTATTGGTACACAAGTAGCTAATGCACAACTTTACTCTAATTGTTATTTATTACCTATTTATAAACATTATTTTTACAAAAACGTGATTTGTGACATAAACTATATACAAAAATTGAATAAAATATAAAGTAGCATATTACTAAAAAAATAAAATAGCAGAAAAATTTAAAAAGTACAAAAAACGTTTATTATAAAAAATAAAAACTATAACTTTTTAACACATTAACGAAGAATGAAGGTTCATGTAGTTTAAAACTAACAATGCGAAATTTAAACCAGTCGATAAAAGTCTATACGCTGAAAAAAGAGAAATTCCAGGTTTTGATTCCTAGCCAGTGTTTTTTTGAAAAATATAATTAATTTAGATAGTGAGAAAAAATGAATATTTTTCATACATGTGATGCAAATCTAGCATTTTATATGAATTTACGAATTGAAATTTAAATAATCTTTTAATAACAAATTCTATGTGTATATTAATAACAAAAATATGTAGTATTGTAATATTACAAATAATGAGAAAAATAAATTTTAACATTCTTTTGTGTTTTATTTTTTATGAATAACTTTTCAACAAATAACAAGCGTCGGCTAAAACTGTTTGATATATATATATATATATATATATATATATATATATAAATGAATAAATAAATAAATAAATGAATAAATAAATATATATATATATTTATTTATTTATTTATTCATTTATTTTGCACGAACATCCAGCATATAGGCTCTTATTCACAAATTTAAATTTTGTGTTAGTTTCAAACTTTTCATGTATGTGTATCATTTAAAAGTTAAAACTTAAAGAATTAAATGAGCAGAAAATGAAATTCAACTTCTGGCTACGTAAAAACATATTTTGTTTTCTATTTCTACAACAACAATAATCTTTTAAGTGAGATGTACCATTTCAAGGTTACTAAACGTTATTATGTGTTTGCTTTAATTGTTTTAATTGGTAGTATTATATGAGGTTGAATTTATCAGTTTTATTTATTCAAAGAAAACTACTTGAATCATTTTTACAAACAATTGCTAAATCAAAAAGCTAATTTTGCCGCGACGAGCAGTTTTGTAAAGCAAGCATTATTGTTGTTGTTGTTGTTGTTATTTGCATCATTATTTTATCCTGTACATGTTTTTCTCTAATAAAGTGCGTATTTAAAAAAAAAGAGATTGAAATTATTTTATTTTGGCTTATTCTTTCCTTGATCTATCCTTTGTTTTTTTTTTTACGTTATGAAAGAGACTATTTTTATATAAATTGCATAAGATTTTCTAACAATCTCAACAATATTTACATAACTTAACAAAGATAATTATATTATTTCTTTTTTCTTTTGTTGTGCTTAAAAATGTCTTGAGATGAGATTATTTCATATTCTTATTAAAAATATACTTTTTTGCGTTTTGAAAAATTTGGTAATTATTCAGTATAGCAGAGACAATTCTGATCATTTTGACCTTCACATATGTTGTCAAGGATACTCTCCTGTAAACTCCAAGAGGTTCCAACCGTTGCTCATTGTTTATTAAAAAGTTATTAGCAAAAAATGTTTGAAAAACATGGTATTTATTTTCAGTAATAACATGCATATACATAGAATAGTTTCAAGTTGCACGCGGAAGCAGTGTGTTCCGCCTCTCCTTACGGAGAGGCTTCACTATAAAAAAATAAAAAACTAGACACACAGGTTACATTTGGGTTGAACTTTGCTTTGCGTAAAAAATTTTAAATCTAGAAAGAACCTTGCTACAACAAGTAACAGTTAAAACCGAGGCAAGGTTTACAACTTTCGCGCAAAGCAAGGTTCAATCCAAACCTATGTGTCTAGTTTTTTGATACTGGAGCCTTCTCATAGGGGAAGGAGAGGGGAAACGGAACACACTGTCTCTATGCAGACACTTTCTACGCAAAGCGAGGTTCTACATGATACATTAGTAGAACATTACAAAGCCTATTCAGCTTATTATTTAAACGTCGCGTCTTTTCGTACACCATGAACGTATAAACAAAGTGTTCACTATCATGTCAGAAATGTCACAATCAGTGATATTGTAATCTAAAATATTGAATATTAATATTTATGTGATTGTAATAACAACTCATATGTGTGTATTAATAATAAAAATATGTAGTATTGTAATATTACAAATAATAAAAAAAATAAGTGTTAACATTCTTTTGTATTTATTTTTGGTAATTATGCAGTTATACGGACTATTTTCCGATCTCAACAATTTTGACATATGTTATCAAGGTCACCTCNCTGAATAATAATATGAAGGTTTTATCCGTCGCTCATTGTTTATAAAAAA